TCGTCGTCATCGTCATCATCATCGTTGCCGGTCAATGAAGCCCCGTTCCTTGACAGACAGGCGAAATTCTGGGTGATCAGAGTTCATGGTATGTGACTGGGATCAATTTCTATCTTCTCTCAATTTTCAACTTGTTTTTCAATTGCGTAAGATTAAGTCTGCTCTCAATAGAAAATATCAAGGTATGCTCATGGTCTTCGCCTGGATAGTGCTGGTGGGATCGGCAATTCTTTCGGCACGATACCTCCGCGATCATTTCCCATCTTCAGCTCCATTTGGTCTGAAGTGGTGGTTCCACGTGAGTTCCACTTGTTCGGCCAGCTTCTACGACGAATCGAGAATGAGAACTGTATCAGAAAGCAAAGTCTGCTGGAAACAGCTCAGAATTCCACATACTGGTTATAAAGCCACAGCTGATATCTAGAACATTGCTCGAGGGTAAGCTAAGCACGAATAGACGACATAGCTTAGGAAGCTCTTAGCATGAGGCGTTCAGTCGTTGTCGAAGGGCTGGGGGTGTGGGAGCAACATCGGTAGTATTAGTAGTCGTCAAGCTCTGCTACCGTTTTACAGCGCAAAATAATGGCTCTGTAGGTCAAATCCGACCCTTCCAACTCTGAGTTGATAAGAACTCCTGATGAACAGCCACCTTTTTTTCCTACGATGCTGTGAGCTGCATTCCTCAATCACTGCAAAGAAAGCTAATGGAAACTAGAAGTTAGAAGCTAATGAAAGTTTTTCTCGAGAGCCCTCCTTGCCTTGGAAGGTCCAAGTACATTTGATGGGTTTAGCAGCAAGTGAAGTTAATCTGAAGTAGAAGCTGCTCTATAACAGTAGTCTAGTAATAACGAGCCGTTGAATTTGGATTTCCATCATTTTAGATCCACAGAACCCTCAATCTGACAGCGTTACTATTGGTGTTGCTCTCGACCCTGCTCATCTTCATCGCAAAAGATTGGACATGGCAAGGTCCTAGTGTGAACAACTCGTCTACTGACAACTTCAGTCCAGGCAGTATTCATTCTCTGGTGAGTTTCTGACAGAGTAGCCCTTAAGCAGTTCATAGTACTAAGGCCAATTCAATGAAGCTGTTCAGCTTGGTACCATCGCTGTCCTGATCCTTATTCTGCAACCACTTCTGGCTCTGATGCGATGCCAGCCAGATACCGGAGCTAGACCGATCTTCAATTGGACACATCGGTCACTCGGAATTACTGGAATTTTCCTAGCAAGTAAGATCGATTCACAATACAGCGCATCACGATTAATACCGATTTACCGAGCCCAGTCTGAGTTTTCAACTTTTTGCTCGAACACGAACTTTTTTAACCATTGGAGTTGTTCAATATTTGAAAGGGAGAGCCGAATCATCTAGTGTTTTTCATCTAGCAGAGTAACGAACCAGTATTATAATGTGCGAACCTATCTGGGTGCACGGTAATTACCTAAAATGCCATAACGATTTCGGACAAGAGCCTAGAGCATGGCGTGCCTGGAGCTGATCAATACCAGAGAGACGTTGTGGAGAACAGTGAACGGTACTACTAAAAATACAAGCTTTTCAGTCATAGCCATACTGATTGCAACCAATTCGTTCGTCTCATTATGGGGAGATTCGGCTTGGAGCTTTGGTGTGATGATCTTTTACATCGTGATCTTAGTTTTGGCTGTCGTCCTCTTTGAGGTCAGTCTTTTCAGAAATCTTTATTGCTATAAAACCTCCAAAAGACAAATTTCACGACTTAATGTGTTTGAATTCGCAGATAGAGAAGTTGCGAATTTCTTTACGTTGGCTAGTTGTCTCGCCATTCGTCATATCTTTGCTAGTTGTCTTCATTGAATGAAAGCAGGTGCTCTACCGTACAATTTCAATCACAGCTTAGATGTGCTTGAAAATTCAGTTTGATATATGCGTGGTTCCAATGTGCCATCAGACCTAACCTTTCTCCCATTTCAACCTTTACAACATAGGTTTCGAGACAAGTGTTCGCCGCCCAGGGTTCTTTTCTAACAAGGAATAGGAATGGACCTGTTCAGAAAATTACTCAGGCGGAATACTTATCCAATGAACATGTGTACGCTGGGGTCGAAGGTGCCTGAAAGTGGTGCCTCGAGGGCGTAGAAAAGTAGTGAGTACGCCAAACGATTGCAATATCGGTATTCAGAGGGCCGGACCGGTTTCGTAGCGAACTTTCGGCCAAATAACCTCTTGGTACAAAAATTCAGCGGAAATTCCGCTCAATTGGTGAAAAACAAGTAAATCGGTGAAAAAAGTAATCCCAAGCACTTCATTGCACCTTTCCATTTCAGCTTCTCACCTACATGAAAAACAAAGCTCCAAATAAAGCAGCTGCTATGGAAATGCGTAATCGGTCTGCTCACCGGTATGACGATTCTGGACGAGTTATCAGCAGTCCACCAAAAGTCATCAATACTAAGGTTAGTGCTAGGATTTTGTTTTCTCCGCCATCCAAAAGATCCCCGATCAAAAAACTTCATTCCAGTCACTCTGGGGCATCTTCGCCTTGTATGTGGCTTTCGTGCTGTTCTCGATCTGTGTGGCGGCCCTTCTGATCGTGATGTTGTCGGTCTGAACTGCACAGTAACGTCCATGGATTACGGTAACATGTCAAAAAATCGATAAACCGGACAGAAGCGTTATCCTCCGAGGGCCGTACTTTATCTGTCGTCAAACGATTTTTTCGACACACTTCGAACGAAATCCTCATCAATTCACTCTGATGTTACCGCATTTTCTCGGTTTTCACCTCAGTCACTGGTATTACAACTTGGAGACGTCTTGTGTTTATTCCTTGTACTTATTTGACTTTGCGAATTTTTCAGGTTTTTCGCAGAATTCGACATTATGTTTTATCTTTCTAATTCTTTGCATGCATTGTGATTACACAGTAAGAACTACCATCTTGTTAATTCACATCCGGATTTTTGCTTTTTTAATTTTTCACAAACAAAAATAGAGGAATTCTGAATCTACTAATCCATGCTGCTCTTTGAAATGTCGTTTTTTCGGAAGCAAGTTTTTTCAATGCTCATATGTCAATATAATTCTGTCATATACATTTGAAGATAAAGTGTAAAAATAGCTGGAATGCTATTTTACTTCTGCAAGTCTCGTATGCGCCACGCATACGACTTTTTGTGAGGATCGTGATTGAAAGTAAAAGCTAAATGCATACATATTCGGTTGAAAAGGTTGAAGAACATTCAGATGAACGTTACAACATCTGCAGATAAGTTCGTTATAATCCCGAAATAAGAAGAAGGCAATATCCGCTTCATCAACGAATAACGTCTTTCGTGGAGTCAGAACTAATAAGCATTAAAAAATAGCAGTGGAAGGATAAAGTGTTCGGGTGTTAGTCAATCCCGACTGGGGGATGCACCCCGCATTTGACTTCCATTTAGAATCGTAGTGGCGATTTGTATGCGTGTATGCCCTATCAAATGACTTGTTATGGCTAGTCTATGTACAAGTCAGTGCTTGTATCCTCCCAAACGAGTGTGGCACCGGGTAACCGAACCCGGTGGGATGGAAGGCTTGGTTGGCCTAGCAGATATGGATCTGGAATTTGAACCCGTGACTGGCATATGTGTGATAGAAAGCCCTTTTCCATCCACCTCCTATACCCAAATAATATATACCACAGTGTCGTACTCCAAAGACTGATTGTGAACTCTGAGCAGCTCTTACAGTTACAAAATATAAATATTTATTTCACATTCGAAATCTATTTACAGTCGCCTTCTATCTTATATGAGCTGTTGTATTGAACCACAGAGACTCCATGCATTAACACCATGATTATGGAACAGCGCGAGACAAATCAATCCCTCAAAAAGCGGAAAATCATGGAAGTGATGTATTTCTCGAATTTAACTTTCAAATAACGAATTAAAAAATGATTACGAGCAATTAGTATCATTACCAAAGCCGCTTCATCGTATTAAAATGTACGTCNGTGATGTATTTCTCGAATTTAACTTTCAAATAACGAATTAAAAAATGATTACGACCAATTAACATAATTACCAAAGCCGCTTCATCGTATTAAAATGTACGTCTGTATTTTGACTCGTCAAAATCGTTTTTACTGCAATAGATCGTCTTCTTCTATACCAGTAATAGATTAGGACAGCATGAACACATATGATACGGTACGACGAGATCTAAACAAAACAAAATTCTCACAAAGTAGTACGCAGGCAGCAAAAAACAAACATAAAATTGCTTAGAGATTATTTTCATTGTGGAAGGACGTGGTGTAGTGGCAAGTGCGCACTATCACACACGCATGGTAGCAGGCTGAAATCTCCGCTCAGTCATACACCAGTAGAGCAACTTAACCCTCGGTTGGCTGATACCGGGGTCGTGAGAAAAAATTAAAGCACTAACCCTCACATTGGCAATCCAAGATATGTGTAGTTCACATACGCACTCAAAACGCTTCTACACTCAGAATGGAAGTCGAATACAGGAGCGCATTCCAAAACGGGATTGACTAATGCCAGAAACTTGATTACCATTTTTTATTTCTCTTATAATGAGTAATGCACTTAAAATTGTCAAATTACCAGAGCAGACCTGCTCTGTGGCACGCTCTTGGCGAATTTCACAAAAATATGTCGAAGATACTTTGATGTATTCACTTTTTTACCCCTGCACAAGTACCAGTAGGGTTTGAGAGGCGTGCAAGTCAATGATTTCATTCTTTCTCGGAGGTGCTCGTTAACAAGTCCAACCTCCTTGAAAAGAATGTAAGACTTGATTGACTTGGGCAGGTATCGATCCAGGTTCTATTCCGCGGACCTGACGCACAGTAACAGCACACTTGGTGCTATCCCTGAACTCCACAGTCATTCACTCCTGTATTGGTTTGCGAACTTTGCTCGGGTGCCTTGGTGGTACTGGGGAACGCAGT